TGGGAGGCTTGCCGGGACGCCACGGGGCACGTCCAAGGGGTCATGGGTCGATGATGGAAAGCAACCCATGACAGAAAGTGTGTAACAGGGATTTGGTCCATAATTCAGGTGGTAAACTTACGTATTTTGCCTTTGTTCTATAAGAAACTTTGACATAGTCCCGCTATCCATTGGAAGAGCAGATAATAACTTTGGTCCTATCCTAGGAAGCACAAGTTTGGGTTGAATCAGTTCCTATATCTCTTATATTTTTTATTAGTTATTAATTCCAATATCATTTTTAACTAATTAAAAGTCAAAACAGCCTTTGTAACAAACAGACGTATATCCTTTCAAAAAGAATATGTAGTAAGAACCTCAATTGCTCGGACACGGGTACGGATCTAGAGGTCGAATCCTTCGAGATGTAAATTCTAAGATTCAGGGATATGGATCCTAGTACGGATACGGGTGCGAAGATCCGGCTAAAAATAATTCCAAAAAATAAAAATATAAAAATCTCTCTAAATTATGAGAAATTTTGTGGAAAACTTACATATAGCTTTTAAAGTGTGGATTTCTTTTTTATTCTCAAGTTGTAGATAAGTAAAGGATTGATTTCCCAGATAAGGTATGCTATTTTCTTCAAATTTACCCTAGTTTTGGTTCTGATTTTGGAAATCAAATTGTATCTTATCTCGAATTTTTCCGTCCGTCGTGGTCAAAGTACCCAAAATTATTTGACCAGATCCGGTACGGATTCCATACCCACACCCATACACAGGTGCGGCACCTAAACTGTCGTGTCGGAGCAACTTAGGTAAGAACAATGTATGCTACTGCCTACTGTACACACAGCTCCAAAGGAGCTAGACAAAATCATAAATTAATAGATTGAACTGCATACACAGCTCTAAAAGCTAGACAAAATCATAAATTCATAGAAATTGCAGATTTCAAGGATATCTTTTTTGCACACAAAAAAAAATGATGCTTTCTGGAATTACACAAGTTGTCCCCATTTCTCCTAGAAAACAAGCAATTTGCTAATGAGACCAAACATTGCTCAACACAATGTGCTTCCAGTTTTAGGAAAACCTAACCCAGTTTCCCAGCTCATCTTCAAACCGACCTTACTTACGTCGAGATTTTTATTCCCCATTAGAACACCATTCATGTGATGTGATAATTCTTTCAAGATAACCCTAATTTCCAACTATGCAGGTTTAGACTCATTATATCTGTGCTGCATATTCAACTTTTTAATACCACTTCAAGCGCTGGAAATAGCAGATACAACAATAAAGTATGACAGATAAAGAAGAAACTTACAATACTTTATCAGCTGTTCTTGAGCTAAATTTTCTAAGCGCTGCTTTAAGGCTTTATTCTCCATGCTTAGAATAAGGCTCTGCTGGTTAAGGAATTCAAGCTCAGCGGACACTTCAGAACCTTCAGCCTGGAAATTAGTAATGACCAGATCAACATTTTTAACAAAATACAACATGCATCATACAGCCATTTCAAAGAGTATATTACTTAAAGCGTCTGTGAAAACACACCTGCAGAGCTTGTACATTTCTTTCCAGCTCAGATATGTATTGAAGCTTCCGAACTCGCGATCGTTGAGCAAACTGTCTGCATTACATGGCACCTTGTCTTTAGTAAACTTCACTATATGTTAAATAAAATCCAAACAATATCCAACTAATGACACGAATAGTAGATAAGTGAATCAGTTGGCATATCCTATAATAAAAGAGGATAAGTTGTAGACAAAACATATTCTTCCACAACAAGTGGAAAAATAATTTAGTCAAAACAAGTGTGGCAAAAAATCGAAGAGAGATGGGAAAAGAGACTTGCTACATGGAAAAGGCAGTACCTATCACTGGGAGGTAGGGTGATTTTTTTTCTTTTTTTGATAATCATGGTGTCCGGGCCAGCTTACACGCAACTCAACTAAATTCACGGGATACCTGCTAACTCTGTCCACCAAAACTTGGACAAATGGGATAAAATCACCAAGTGTTTTTGCCTCCGCTAGGATTTGAACCTAAGACTCATGGTTCTTAACCCACTTCCTTGACCACTGGGCCACACCCTTGGGGTCCTGGGAGGTAGGGTAATTCTTATCAAGAGTGTACTTGATTCTCTTCCAGCCTATCTTATGTCTATTTCTTCTGCCAGTGAATGTGAGGACAAAGTTGGATAAGATCAGGAGGAACTTTTTGTGGAAGGGAAGCAAAGAAAAGAGAACTTTTCACCTGGTAAAGTGGGACAGGGTGTTGATGTATAAAAGAAATAGGGGGCTGGGCACTTGAAAGTGCACAATAGTAGCTTAATTATGAAATGGTTGTGGAGATATGGCAGAGAAGCAAGGAGCTAGTGGACAAGAGTGATTACTAGAAAAGATGGTGATTAAAGCCTATGTATTCAGGTCCCGTACAGATTTCTCATGGTTTAGGCTTATGGAAGCATATATGCATCTTATGGGCTGCTTTTGAATCGCATAAAAAGGTTAAGATTGGTAACGGAAGGAATATATGGTTTTGGCATGATGCTTGGATAGGACCCACACCATTAAAGATCATGTATCATGATCTTTATGGTTTCACGAACAATGCAGGAAGCTATGCCCCACAGTGCTCGAATGGGAGCTCCTGGTGTATAAGTTTTAGGAGAAATTGCTCTGATTGGGAAATACCCAGAATGGCTCTCTCTGAACGACTTAGAGAATGTATCTCTCAAACGCAGAAGTTGAGGATTTTGTTGTATGGACAACGCAGAACTATGGTCTCTCTGTTAAGTTTTGCCACAAGGCAACCAACAATGAGGGAGACAGCTCTACAGTTGGCCATGTAAACAGTTACAGAAATCTAAAGCACCTTACAAAATCAGTTGTTTTATGTGGCTGGTCACTCACGACACATGCCTCACTCATTGCAACCTACAGAGAAGGGGAATGACGATATGCAACAGGTGCTTTATGTGTAACAGCAAGGTGGAAAGCTGCAACCACCTCTTTTTGCATTGCCCAGTTGTTAACCAGATTTGGTTGCTTTTCTTTTAGTACTTATTCAGGATGCAATTCCTCATGCCATATATATTAAACAGTTACTCAACCACTGGGCTTCCAGGGGAATCAGAAAACCACTGAGGAAGATATAGAACACGGTGCCTGTTAGTGTCTGTTGGGTTATATGGAAAGAGAGGAATGCTAGAAATTTCGAAGAGAAGATAGATACTGTACAGAAGCTGAAATACAAATGTTTATGGTTGTTGACAATCTACAGGATGTAAAGAATGAAAATAGCATATGCTAGATTTCATAGAATCTTTACAGGAATAGGTTTTTGTACAGCAGGGTTCCTTCCTTTTTGGTTTTTTTTGTNAGCATAAGCTAGATTTCATAGAATCTTTACAGGAATAGGTTTTTTTACAGCAAGGTTCCTTCCTTTTTGTTTTTTTTTGTAAATGAAGGATTCCTAACCAGTGTACTGCCTTTGTACTATCCTAGTGCCAGGCTGCTCTACTTTTGAAATAATGTTCACTTACCTATTCAAGAAAAAGAACATATTCTTCCGCACCTAAAAATCAAAGTGCTCCATCTCTATCAAATTAGACGGCAGATGGCCATTTGATTCGTGCGAAGTTTAAGAAAATGTTTTGGGTAAGTTGATACGTCGAAGTTAGCAAGAAAGGTGCTAAAAAGAATTGAAACGCATCAATAGTAGGGTAATTTGTCAAGTATAAATCACTAATGTAAAAAGTGATATTAATTACTGCCTTTGCATTGCACAGAATCGGAAAACAAAAGCCCCTTCAAAGTGGCTTGTTTCTCTTGGTTGGTGACAAAGAAGGCATATTTGACAGAAGACAATCTCCAAAAAGGGGCACCATTTTGTGTAGCAGGTTTCATTTATGTGGAAAGGAAGCTGAAAGTGTAAATCACCTCTTTTTAAATCGTAATGTAACTGCTCAACTATGACAAATCTATCTGAACATTGGGTGATGCCCAGAACTCTCATACAATTACTTCAGTGCTGGAACAGGGGAAAAAGGGAGAAAAAGAAGTCATTTTGGTGGATTACCATTCCAGCTAATATTTGGGGGACCGGACGGAAGGAAAGGAACACCAAATGCTTTGAAGGCAAAAGCAAATTCGATCCAACAGATCAAATTTAACTGTTCACTTTTTTCTTTTGCTAAATAGTACATATTCCAGCACTTCCTTTTCCTTAGAGCTGCAGATCTAATACAATTACTTTTTCTATAGAATAAAAAAAAAGTTACCGTCTATGCATTATAATGAACTGTTGAAGGTGGGAAAGTTTACGTTTAGGAAAAGGGGTCCGTGAAATTCAGGAGGAGTGAAAAAGACAAGGTCAAGTAAGTTAAGATAAAAGGAAGAAGAAATGTTCCTGACATATATATCCTTCCTGTAGCATAAAAATCAATTTGTTGTTAGAAGTTAAATCACCTATTTTTGTCAACATCTATGGATCGATAGGATTTGAACACCATAGGCATCCCTTGAAAAATTCAAAGAGCATAGACTACCCTACACTTTTGCTGTAGGCCGGTATCCTGTTCAGTGTACAATATCATTAAAGTTTTAGAAGGTAAATAACACAGAATCATAGTACTACTTATTGTGGCTGCAGAGATTCAGAAGAAAAAAAAAACATGCTAAATTACTTATTAATGAAAATTAAAATCCCATTTGGTTTTCAGCTATCCTGGTTATAAGCCTCCAACTAACCAAAACATCCAGTAAACTGATAGTATGGGCATGCAACAAAAAGAAAAAGGAATGATAGACAAACCATGAAAAGAGAAACCAAGAACTATACTATAAACAGTAACTGCTACAGGAACTATGTCTTCTTTCAAATTTCAACATACAGAAAATATGTTTATTCACTTCACAGCTATTTCCTTTGGGGTTGCTGAGAGAGTTACACTTACTGCTTTGCACGTTTCGTGTCACTTTCTGATGCAGAACTCTTGCTGTGAGAAGAATCCTTTTTTTCACCTGATCCCACTGGATTAGGAGGGACAGATTCAACTAAATCCTGCTTGTCGCTTCCTGCAGATTTGGGCCTCTCTCCTTCTTGTGGAGGACATGATGCTCCCAAGCTGTGAGTCTTGACATTTTCCCTAAAAGGGGGCCGGCCACGGGGATGTTGTATTGCATTTGGAGAAGCATCCCTTGCCCTATTCTTTTGTCGGTTTGAGAAGTTTTGATCAACATGAAATGTGGCATGCCGAGCATCTTTGTAATAATCAAAGTCTTGGGATCCCCAGGAAGGGACAGGAGTTAAATTTCTGAATTTGTTATCATCTTGAGCTATGTAATCTAAGTTTGCAATGTTAGCAGCATCATGATATGTAAAGGAGTCACTAGATGAACGTCGATGGCCACCTCTGCGTACTGGAGTTTCCGGCTCGTTAAGAAGATCATCCAACCAAGATGGTTGCTCCTCTATAAGACAACTTTCAGAAGAAGTGCGCTGATGGTGTGAACCATCTCTAGATTTTGAAATGCCTTTTTGGGTGACAGCAGAACTAGGGACATAATCAACATACGAGGGAGATATGCTAGGAAACGGACTTTTAGGAGGCAGTAAAGAGCTCTTTCCATTGTACACCATATTTCTCATGCTAGATGCCCCCTTGGAATTTGCCATGCAAAGAACACAAGATCCCTGCTAAACAATGAAATAATTGTACATATGTGAAAAGAAAGAAAGGAAATAATTGTCTCCATATTATGCTAGATAGATTAGAAGCAACTTATTGTAACCCATCCCAAAAAAAATGTAAGCAAGTAAACAGTCCGTTGGAAAAAGAATCTAACACTACAACAGCAAGCTATCCTGTAAGAAATCCCATTTAGCACGAGGCAAAGTATCACCAGGAAATCTGAAATTTTCTATGCTAATAAACGATCAACATAAGTCAGTTTACCAGCCCAATACAAAGAGGAGATAAAGAAACAAGAGCCATTGCCAATCATTCTGCACATTCATGTCTACCAAATGAATAGAACACACCCAATCATGGAATAAAAGATTCACACAAAAATTGGAAAAGCTAGTTTGCCTCTGCAGCAGGTGATCAAAGAGGATATCAGGATATGGAACAAATGGATCGTGGACATTTAATTTAAAGATGCTAAGAGTGAACGAAAGGGGAGGAAGAGAAGGTAAGGAGCATGTTTATCACCAACAGAGGGTAAGCTCACCTCAACTTTGCAAATGCACTCAAAACAGATAAACAGAATGGATGCTCAACTTAAATTTGCAAAAGCACTCAAAACAGATAGATACAAAATCCAAGGAAGAACTGCCATCTTCTTCTATGTGCAATTTTTTTCTTTTATCTTCATTGTTCAGAGGAAAGGGGATTAAATGCGTAGAGCATGTGGAAATCCAAAAATTCATCAGAACATTATGTTCGCTACAAATCAAAGTCTAATCTATCTGGTCGCGGCTATATGTACATGCATTTCATAATAAATTTACGCCATCATTTTAGGGAAAAGGACCCACAATAAAAAATCAATAACAAGTGAAAGAAGAATACATAATTTCCCACCATCTTCAAATGGAGTAAAAAACCATTTCCTAACTTTGTAATAGGAAGCTATGCTTTTCTTTGGTAATGCTGTTTTATGGAAAACATAGAAGTATAGGCCTGACTTGGGGTCTGTAAGAAGAAACTTCAACGGATTAGAATTGGACATTGTTTTGAAGCTCTAGCTTCTGTACTTCACTAGCATCATGTTGGCAGTGATCAAAACATGTTGGTGGACAGGTACAAATTCTGGATGAATCTCCAAGGAATCATATTACAAGCTTTTGTTCAGCTTAGGAGCAAATAGCATGGATTTCATTTAGAGAATTAGATTGAAAGTGCATCTCCTCTAGCTTTAGCAGTAAGCAAAGTAAAACTTTGCTACATGTTTGAAAGAACACAATACGTGTCAATCAAGCTAGTGTATGTTTGTATTTCTAGATCACTACAAACAAGTAGCTCCAGGCATCCAAGTTCAAGGATATAAATCAAAGCCCAGCATCGTTCGCAGAGCTTGTGAAACCAGTTTCCATCTAAGAAGTAGAACCACACAAAGCAGGAGAATAAGGCTTTCGTCAACATTATCTGTTTGGGTACGCATTTCAAAACTATTAAATCAGCGGAAAAAATATTCCAGCCAGGATAACTCAAACTGCATTTTAAGACACTCAAAAGGTTAACTGTAGCTTTGCTACCTCTCTGCAGGCACTTCAGGATAAATCTCTCCTCACCAAGTGACTATATCCGTTTATCGTCGGAACCCCATGTGTAACCAACGACAACTAATCCTAAGCGTCAACCCTAGAATAATTGTGAAGCACAATATGAATCATCAATACCCATTCTATTAAATTTGGGCATATTTCATTCCACTACTCAAAAATCTAAATCTCACACTTATTCCTGCACTGACATACAAATCTCTAAATAAACAAAAAAGACTACTAAAAAACAATGGCAGAACCCATGTTAAATCATTCCAAACTATTACTCACTCCGTCCCATTTTATATGATGCACTTTGAGTGAGTACGGAGTCTAAGAAAGAAAAAAGACTTTTGAAATTTGTAGTGTAAAACAAGTAATAAATACTTGTGGTTCTCATTAAGAGTAAAATGGAAAGTTTAAAGTTAAATTGTTTCTAAATATAGAAAGGCAATACTATTAGTTTTGGGACAAACTAAGAAGTAAAGTGCATCACATAAATTGGGATAGAGGGAGTAATCAACCTCATATACACACACAATCAGAGCTTACTTTCATGTTAAATATCTTAACGAGTAAAAAAGAAATAATTTTACAACCACTGATTGGGCAATTAGGAAAACAAAGTAAAGTAAAGAAGGAAAATATTTTCCCCCAAATCTCAGGCTTAACATAATAATTTGTTTCTCTTAATTTAATTTTTCTCATCTGGAAATGCAAATGATCAAACAAAAAGGTAAAACACTCAACTAATTTTCTCTCTCTTTTTCTTCCTTCTAATTCTTCAACACTTAATTGGCCTACCATTTCCAGCTACCAAAGAGACGATTTCTTAAATAAATAAATAAATAATTAAGGCAACTAAAGAAGATATGAAGAGAATTATACCAATGAGCTAAATTGATAATGAAGATCTCAAGGGGCGATGTGAAAAATGGAAGATTCAATAAAATTTGAAGCTCACTGCAATTGCTGCTAATCCCTTTCTTCTTATTGTTTTGCAAATCTATCTTTACTTTATTACTCCTTCACGTCTCATGTTGAAACTTGAAAGACAACCCAAAATGAGATGGCTTTTTATTACTTTTGGTGGTCTTTACGGTCTCATCCCCATTATATTCTTCGATATGCGTGTAAAAGTCCCTACTTCTATTTTCGAGGATCAATTGGTTTGCCAACAAATTATACTGAAATTATAATATGAGTATTAAATAATTGATAGAAACTATTTAATGGTTATACTTTTACTTCCAATTTTAACTTTGATTTTCTTAAAAAATATTTGGAGAAGAGCAAATGTGTTACTATTTTGTTGTTCTAATCTCGAGCTTAGTAATTCAGAGGTTATTATCCCACATAAAATGCGTAAAAATAATACTACAATATGATTCTTTCACATCCGATTCTTTCTGTTTTGGTTTAAACATTTTTCGAATTGCTAATCCCAAGATTTACCAAATGCGAAATAGAAAAATTATATATTTTGTTCCGGAATTCCTCATCCTTGTAATCAAACGAGTCCTTATTACACAAAATGCTCTGAATAATAGAATAATAAACAAATATACAGTCAAACTTTTTTATAACAGGATCATTTGTTTCGATATTTTTTTACTTTTATAGTGAATGGTTGTTATACACCTATAATAGCGTTTGATGTTAAATATATTTTGGTTGTTATACACAAAAATTATTCAAAAATCAATTTTGTTTTTATGTTACGTATAAAAGATTTAAAAAAATTGTTCAAATATAAATACTCAAAATATATGTAATACTAATTAAATATTAAAGAAAGATAACGCATTAGTAATAAATTCGTAACTAAATGTATAAAGATATAAACTCTAAAGCGTATATTATACAGCTACTAAAAGATTAAATTATTTCAAGATTAAGGGAAAAACTTCGTAATTGTAGTATGTTTCATAGATTTCGGTCTCTTACCAACTATATTACGTTTGAATTAGCAAAAATTGTGTCCAAACTTTCAGCAAAAGAATACCTAATAGCTTTCCCTTGAAGGCAATCTAAGAGGTTAATAGTTGAATCTTTTATCTCGGTCCAAGTAGCAGTAGGTTGAGGTCATAATATTTAAATTTATTATTGGTAATCTTATTAGAGATTCTACGTGGATATTATAGAGGGGTAATTTTACAAAGAGCATATTGCTGTAAAGATGGATGTTGCTTTTATAGGTAAAAGGTTGTTATATAGAGGTAAAATATAATATAAAAATTTGGTTATGAGGAAAATTTGGATTTTATAGTGAATGATTGTTATATGAAGATGTTGTTATATAGAGGTCTGACTGTAGAAACAGACGCACACAAAGAATTGCATCGAACCAATTTGGAACTAAAGTAATGTCAATTGATTAATTTTGGACAATTCACGCTCTTGAGCTAACTTTTGAGGTTGAGTTAGGTCCAAATATCTATTTTCTAGGAATTTTGACCTATCTATACTACATTATAAACTTATTTACCCTCATAAAGAGGTAATTACTTAATTATATTAGCATATATAATTTATCACTTATGTACAAAAAAAAAATATTAGACTCCAATTTTACCCATTTTAGGCTTCATTCTTCTCTATTTTTCTTCTCTGTATAGATATTTCTTTCTCAGTTCCTCTTCAATTAAGCTTTTGCAGATGAACATGCTCAGAACTTTGAGAAATGGTGAAGAAAAATGAATCAATTGGTTCAAAGCATAGAATACACAATATGAAGCACAAATACAAATGGGCTACCATAACTTTTTTTTAGATGAATAAACAAGATATTGTCTACATAAGTGGCATTTGGAACTAAAATAAAACTGACGGTGTAACTGAAACTAAACTAAAGTTGATCAAGTATACATGAGCTTAAAGTTAAACTATATTGATAGTCATTAGAAAGCTTAGATACTTTGAATTCGAAGATCGAAATATGTAAAATTGTTATTTGTTTGGATTGGGTGTTATTGCAAATGATTGAGAATATTTTTTGGAGTTTATATCTCAATTTTGAGAGAATTTGATGAAGATTCGAGGTGGTTTTGGTTGGAATTTCATATTAAAATTCGAAGAAGATGACATAAACAAATTGTATATATTTAGCATGCCGAGTGTAAAAACGGTATACAAAATATATATATAACTTACGTAATTGTATACAAGTTGTATATAGATTGTATGTAAACTATAATTTTTTACCAGATTATGTACAAAAAAAATTGTATTTAAGTTATAGATAAATTGGATTTTTGACCGGATTTGTATATATTTTGTAAAAAAAACTTTAGTTTTATAAAAAGAAAAATTTAGATAAACCGGGTAAATAAGTTTAAAAGTTTGTATATATACAAAAAGGTCCCATTTTCTTATCATAGTATTATAGCCATGTCCAACCCAATTCATTATTTATTCAATATTGGGCACCGATCTTGTTCATGCCTAAGTGTTCGGTCTTGGACTTGTGAGGAGAGGAGGTTAAAATAGCACGGGGTAGCCAGTTTTCGAATTGGTCATTCAAAAATAGCCAGCGTTTGTCAAGTCATTGAAAAATAGTCACTATTTTGCTGCAACAGAGAGCGGTCCAGCATAATATACTGGAGTTCAGTGCACCTGTGTATGAACTTCCAGTATATTATGCTGGACCGGTATACTTTGCTGGCTCCAGTATAATATACTGGAGTTCAGTGCACCTGTGTATGAACTTCCAGTATATTATGCTGGACCGGTATACTTTGCTGGCTCCAGTATAATATACTGGAGTTCCAGTAAAGTATACCGGAACTCCAAACTTCAGTGTATTATGCTGGAGTATTTTTCGAATTTTGAACAGTGCTTTCGTTCAGATTTATCTTTACATGAAAAAGTGGCTAAATTTCGATGACTTTTGAAAGCGTAGCTATTTTTGAATGACCACTTGTAAATTTGGCTATTTTTGAATTTCTCCAGGTGAGGAGGTGCCATTTATCCCATATAAGGTGGTATGAGTCTTTGGTCTCCTTAATACCGTCTTGGGCAATTAACACTCCGTGGGCTAACTTTTGGGCTTAAGTTGGACCCGTGATTCATTTTCTTACCATATCTCAAGTTCAAATCTCAATGGAGACAAAAGAATACTAGGTAATTTCTTCCCACCTGACTAAGAGCCCGTTTGGACATAAGAAATTTTTACTTTTTTAAAAAAAAAATTTATTTTTTTCGAAATCAGTGTTTGGCCATAAATTTTTCAATTTTCACTTGAAGATGAATTTTGAATTTTTTTGAAAATTTGAAAAACTCCAAAAAGCTATTTTTTAAAATTTTCACTCAGATCACTCACAAAAATTTAAAAACAACCCAAAATTATAATCATGTCCAGACACAACTCTAATTGTCAAATACCATTTTCACTTGAAAAAAAATCACTTTTTTTTTTGAAAATTTACAATTCTTATGTCCAAATGCCACTAAGTTTTGATGGACAGAATCACTCAATATTTGTACTGATAGAAAATTGCAATACCTAATTAAATAATCAAGGTAAGTGCAAGCTGATCCGAACACTATTATGTTGTCGAGGAATTTTTTCCGATTTAATAACTAATGGAATTTCTTGATTTTTTCAGTTTTTCATGGTATTAATTAATATATTAATGAGATTTGTTTTTTCCTTCTGGGATATTATGAAGGAAAGATTGTGCCACTAGTTAAAGTAGTATTACTGTTGTCAAGAATTGTCTCAATCATATACGACGAGGATGGCTCATAACTCACTAGCTAATGTTGTAGTGAGTTGTGACAGAATCTTTACAGCTATTACTATACTACCACATCATGTCTTCCAATAATAGTGCATTCTTAAAAGAATTAAGTTTTAATAGCTCATTTTGTAAAATATTTACTTGATAAAAGTAATTTGACCAACTTCAACAAATTATTCACGTGTTAGCAAAATTTAAACTCCTTTAATATATGCAGTTCGTGTTAACAGTACATGCCAAGAAATACATATTATAGTTTTCTTTATGTCAACTAAAGCACATAACTAAGTACCTAGTATAATTCTTATGAGTCACAAAGTCTAATATGATGAGAAGTACTTTACAATATCACTAATTTTTTTATTAGCTTCAAAGATTATAAAAAAAAAAAAACTTTAGACGACTATAATACAAGAATTGTATTAGTTCAGTTCAATACTTCAATTATGTGAATAAAATAAGTATCCATAGTTTATGGAAACAGTGAGTTTTATAGCCTCAAATATAGTTTGTGGAATTTGGAGAGAGCTGTCACATGGTCCCCTCTTTACCAACCTACCAATCTCTCCTTAGGATTCTACAACTCAAGTAAAGGGAAGTTCCGACTATGTATTTGTAATTTTGTATAGAGTAAAATATATTCATATTAAATAATCGCATGATAAAGTGACACGTGGAACTGAAGACATAAGACAACCAGATCTGAAGGCAACGATCTCACTTGTTACCGAAGAGAATGATATTCATAAAGGCAAATTAAATACATGTCACCTGGTAACATTTAATGGAAAATATTCCATAGTTAAGTGCACGGTCCGTTACAGAAAATATAACATTCACTGCCTACCGTTACACATTTTTCAATGGCTCTCATAATTGTCATTTAAAAGGATCTTGATCCTAGACCTTGTTCCCTAGGTGCAACTATAAATAGTGAGCTCTACAACTATATTCAGTTCAAAACTCAATAATATTTTACCTTCTTGCTTATTTTATACTGTTATTACTGCCTACGGAAGCTCTGCTCCTGGAATCAAGATTTCTACTGTATTATCTCGACTTCAACATTAAGTGTTACTTTTTTGTCTAATTTATTTATCATTTTAGGATCAAATCGATCCATTTGTCTATAAACCATGTATAAATTCAATTGTACCATTTTACGGATAAACAGTTTGGCGCCCACCGTGGGGCTTAGACAGTTTTGTAATTGAATTGATCCTTGCATCTATTACTAACTTGTTTAATTATTTGTTCTTAGCAAAAATCATTAAAATAGCACATAATGATGTCAACATCGCAGACAACATTGAGGCCCAGGGAAATCAGCCTCAGCATGAAGATTCAATCAATAATACCCGCAACGAGGGGATGAGGCCACGT